CCCCCCCCTTCTTCAACGCTTGGAGTCTTCCCACGCCGGTGTGAGGGTGTCCCTCTCGCTGGTTAACAGCTAGGTAAGAAGATCGAGCATGGATACAAGTAGACAGAGGGGGGTTTTTTTACTGGGTTGTGTCGGTGTCGGTGTTCTGCTGTGGAACTGTCGACTCCCGGCCCAGTCTCTCTCGGACAGGATACACGCTGACGGTCTCAACCAGTGTTTGACAGGCACCGTTTCTGTTGACCAGAGCCCTGTCCTGTCCGTCCACTCAGCCAGTAGAGCTGCTGGTGTTAATATTGTCGCTTCACAATGGCTTCATCGTACGGAAAGTAGGTCGACCGGGGACGCACTCGGCCTAGCTCAGCTACACCGCTTCTAGGCCGGAGGAGGAGCCTCAAAATAAATAAATAATATCGAGCTCAAATTTGCCTCTGCTGGATATTTTTCTTTGTTCTCGAGGACTCCGTCTTAACTAACGGCCCCCTAGTACTGTCTATTCGGCGGACCAGTTCATGAACCCCGGCCCTGCTCCTCGCCCTCCCACCGATCGCCCTCGCCTGAATCTCCCCTCGTCCACGTCGACCAGTGTAGCCACCTCGTTCAGCCAGATGAGTCTGAACTCGCCGAGTACCCCCGGCTCTGCCAGCCTCTCCCTGTTCCCCAACACCAGCAATCTGTCGCTCACCCACACAAAGTCGCAGTCGAATGGCCAGAGCGGCGTCACCGTCGTCAAGGAAGGGTATGTCCGCTGCAAGGAAGACAAGTTCCTCGCGACGTGGAACCAGCGTTATCTGATCCTGCGCGAGTTCCGCCTCGACTTCCTCAAGAATGAGACCGGCAAGGTCGTCCTCTCCATCCCCCTGCAGACCGTGACCGGCGTCTCTCGCTCCGAGGACACCAAGATGGCCTTTGAGATCGTGCGCCTCGCCAACCAGAAAGATGCCACCTCCAAGACCGCCATGCTCACCCGTGACGTGCCTACCAAGACTATCACATGTGAGGTCAAGAGCGACGACGAAATCTATGAGTGGATTGACAAGATCTATGAGCGCTGCCCGGGCATGGGTGGCGTCAGCAACCCGACCAATTTCAGCCACCGCGTCCACGTCGGCTTCGACCCCCATACCGGCGCCTTCGTCGGCCTTCCCCCGGAGTGGGAGAAGCTGCTGACCGCTTCCGCCATCACCAAGGAAGACTACAAAAAGAACCCCCAGGCCGTTATTGAGGTGCTCGAGTTCTACTCGGACCATAAGATGCGCGAACAGAACCCTCAGTACTACGCTGGCCTGTCCTCCCATCCCGGTGGCCAACAGGCCAAGACCAACCTGGGCGGCTCTGTGGGCAACTCCATCGCACCCCCGAGACCGGCCCCGCCGGGCCCGTTGCAGCGTCTGGATAGCGGTCAGGCCCAGAAGCTGATGGATGAGACCATGCGCTCCAACTCGTCGTCCCCAGCCCAGACTAGAAGTCCGGATTCGGACCGTGCATACGAGCAACAGCAGCAATTGGAGCGAATGAAGCAGATGGCCGATCAGGAACGTCGTCGGGTTGAAGACGAGGCTCGCCGCGCCCGTGAGCGCCAGAACGAGGAAGAACAAAACCGTCTGGACCAGGAGGCCTACAATGCCTCGCTGCCCAAATCACGCCCGCCCCTGGCCAAGCAGGAACTCATGGGCTATGGTGGCTCTGCCTCGGATGATTCAATGGCCAACCGCTACACACCCAGTCGTCCGGCTCCCCAAGCTCCGGGCGGCGCACGCTCTCAAGCCCAGGATCCATCTCGAGTGATGACTGCCCAACGTCCGGCCCCGTCTCCCCCGACCGCTAATGGTAAGCCAGACGAATATCTTTTCTTTTCTTTTCTTTTCTTTCTTTTTTTTTTTCCATTGCTCAGCTAGTTTTAACACCTTGCAACAGGACCTCAACCTACACACTCCCAGGCGTCCACCCGTCCTCCCAATGGCACCAAACCTTCTCAGGCCCAGGGTCCCCCCCCTAGCCGTCTTCCTGCTCCTGTGCAACCCGTGAAGCCCTTGAACATTGCCAATAAGCAGCCGGCACAGAAGCCAGCTGTGCCTGATGGTGTCCGGCAGGCCGAAGCGGCTCTCACTAAGAAGCCGGATGTCCGGCAGAAGGAGGTGCGCATGTCGGCCATGAGCGAGAACGAAGTGATGGACCGACTCCGCGCAGTGGTGTCCAAAGACAACCCCAACGAGTCGTACAGCAAGCAGCGAAAGATCGGTCAAGGCGCTTCCGGGTCCGTGTACGTGGCCCGGGTCAAGGAGCATGCCACGTCTGGCGTCGCTCGCGAGCTCTACCGCCAGTACGGTCCGCGCTGCCAGGTGGCTATCAAGCAGATGGATCTGCGTAGCCAGCCGCGCAAAGAGCTGATCGTTAATGAAATCATTGTCATGAAGGATAGCCAACACGCAAACATCGTTAATTTCCTCGATTCTTTTCTTCAGGAGTCGAGCAACGAGTTGTGGGTTGTGATGGAATTCATGGAGGGTGGTGCTCTGACGGATGTAATTGACAACAACCCTGTCATTCAGGAGGATCAGATCTCCACCATCTGCCTAGAGGTATGTAGACAAGACCTCTTGCAATTCAACTCCCGAGGAAATACATTTTTTGCTGACCATTCCCCAGACCTGTAGAGGACTTGCCCACCTTCACAGCCAGAACATTATCCATCGTGATATTAAGAGCGATAACGTCCTTCTCGATCGCGTTGGGCATGTCAAAATCAGTGAGTTCTTTGTCCCGTTCTTTCGGTGGTTGTGAAAGCAAGTTATGCTAACTTTTGCGCAGCTGATTTTGGGTTCTGCGCAAAGCTCACCGAGTCGAAGAGCAAGCGTGCCACCATGGTGGGTACCCCGTACTGGATGGCGCCAGAGGTGGTCAAGCAGAAGGAGTACGGTCCCAAGGTCGACTGCTGGTCTCTGGGTATTATGGCGATTGAGATGATCGAGTCCGAGCCGCCATACCTCAACGAAGAGCCACTCAAGGCGCTGTATCTCATCGCCACGAACGGCACGCCGCAGCTGAAGAAACCCGAGAAGCTGAGCAAGGAGCTGAAGTCCTTCCTCAGTATCTGCCTCTGCGTCGACGTCCGTCACCGGGCCACGGCCAACGAACTGCTGGCCCACGAGTTTCTCAAGATGGGATGTAGCCTTGCGAGCCTGGCTGAGCTTCTTCGTTGGAAGAAAAATAATGGCCAGTAATTTTGCCTGGCAACCCTTTTCCTACACATGCTCTCTGCTTTTCAACTAGATATTTCGTTTTTCTCTTTTTCGCACATCGGCACATAATCCTGTTGCCCATTTGGTTTCAACGACACCTCAGGCAACCCTTCCATGATATCCGAGTCTAATTATTTTGTGTTTATCAACTTGTGGGTGCGACTGGCGTGGATACGGCGTTGGTTTGATTTTTTGATTTCCTTTCTTCTTCTTCTTCTTCTTCTTCTTCTTCCTCTTCTTTCCGCCCCCCCCTTTTCCCGCTTACTACTCCCTCCTAAAACTCCAAATTTGCATGATCTCCCGATGACTTTGACGAGTCTGCTCACGCATGGCGTTGTTGTTCGTCATTGAGAAACCTCCATGTCTCTTCCCCTCCCCCTTGTCGTCTGCATGTCGATACGCTCTGATGAATGAGTCCATGACAAGCACTCTATGTTAAGCGAGAAAAGTAATAGAACATGTTATCTCCAAGTCTTATAGCAGTAGTATAGCAGTAGTATAGCATTAGTATAGTAGTATCACATTATGTATTCATTCATACTGTCAATAAATAAAGATTAAAAAAAATACAGGTATCTATTTTACGTTCCCAAGGCATCTCATCCTTTTTTCTCGCTCTCAGTGATGGCATTCAAAGCACACCCCGAATAACATCCCCAACCAAGCCACCGTACTCGGCAAACAGGACTCCGGTGAGGATATGCTCGCCCTCTTCGACGGTCCAGTGGCCCGCGTCCACGAGGCGTTGCTTCCACACGCGACGGTCTTCTTCCGGCATATCTTCCCAGGCGCGAGCTTGAGCCCGGGGATCCTGTTCATTTCCGGCTTGAACGAGGACGTTCCCACCGTCGACGGTGACGAGGATAGCAGAAGACCCGTCGGGAATCTCTTTGGCGTTGATTTCGCGAGCACGGAGCAGGTCTCGCAATGAGCGATGCGGGACTTGTACAGAGGGAATATCAGAAGAAGAAGAAGAAGAAGAAGGGACACCGCTCGGAGTGAGTTCCGGGTGGAGATGGGCAAACATATAAGGGCGGGCGACGACATCACGGACCCGAGTGGGCAACCAGTTCGTAGCGCCAAGATGGGGAGGGGTAAGGCCACGGATCTCAGTGAAGGCCTGCAGGGCTGCACAGGCGAGGAGGATCATGAACAAGGCCACGGCGCAGCTGTACGCTGTTTCCCAGTGTTGGGAGGGACCGGGCCTGTGCAAGACGTAGCGTGAGGAGCGGCTGTTGGGCGGGTACGGGGAGAGCGGCAGACGGTGCACGACGACCGTGTTGCCCATGCTGACGGAGGCGAGGCGCACGGCTTGCGGCCCCACGGCCGAGGTGATCGGGTGGGTGGGAGGCGTGAAGGTCGAGAAGCGCAGCTGCGTCATCGAGAAGGGGTGCACGTCACGCAATGTGGTGTAGAGCCGTAGCTTACTGTAGGAGGAGCCCTGTTGTTGGAGCTGCTCTTGCTGTTGCCCTTGCTTTCTGCCACTGCTGGGGTAGTATTCGACCGTGCAGATTTCAATGGACTGGTCGCCGCCAGACACGGCGATAATAGACTGTTGCTCGCCCTTTTCATTCGCGCCTAGATTGCAGACGTCCATCCCTAGGCCCATCTTCATGGCCCGGCGGAGCTTACGGCGCTGGATAATCTTGCCTGACGCCCCGGCGGTAATTTCAGCACCAGCACCAGTGGTGGGGGGTAACTGCACGAGAACGAGCTCGCAGCCTGTACGGTTGGGAGCGTTCCGCAGCACGAGTAATGCAGTCGGGGATAGGAACCGCAGCGCGCGGAATTTCGGTCTCGTCTGGTTCTGGCCCGAGAGCAGCGGCGTCTTGAGCACACACCGCACCTCTGGCGCGACGTTGGAGCGAGTCTCGCTGGAGATCTCGCAGGTGAAGATGTCAACTCCATTTGTATATGCCACGCGGAACTTGCCCGTGTCATTGTCGTCCGGCAAATCGATGATATCGACATCCTCGGCCTCCTCCCCGTCACCGAGTTGTATGCGGCCCACGACGTCTGTGCTGGAAGGCGACGATGAGGTCGCGCTGAAGAAGACAATCTCTCCAGAGGGCGCCAGCCCCGTCGCAACAACGCCTACGCGCGCCCTCTCAGCGCCACGCCAAGGCGACAGCCTCAGGATGCGCTGGTAGGTATCTGCCTTGCCCTTGCGGGCTTTGCTTCTGAACAGCGATACCTGAGACAGCGGGGTTGTTGTCTTGGGCGCTGCCTTCTTTTCGCTTGCTTCCTCCTCGGTCTTATCATTCGTTTTGTCGTCGTTGGCGACTTTCTGGGGGTAATCGATCTTAAACGACCGTAGATGACGGTTTTCTCCACGGAGCTGGTCCGCCTGCGAGCTATTTATACCTGCCAGAGCGACCACGGAGTCGTCATCCGCATACGCCGCGGCGAGAGAGGTCACCGAGTCCTCGTCGCGCGACAGCTCGATATCGACAATCTGGGAGATTTCGTCTCGTTTCGACGTGTTGAGAAGCACCTGCAATGGACCAACGATTAGTTTGGTGATTCTTTTCTCTCAAGGAACGAGCGTTTTCCTGATGGATTCATTCGATCTTACTATTTTATTTCCCACCCCGCTGCGTCCCTCTCCTCCTCCTCCTCCAACAAGGAGAAACCCCTGATTTCGCGGGTCGAAGTCCGCCGCGAAGAGCGGACACGACAGCGTCAGTTTGGCCGACGCAAAGGTAGGCGCCATCCTGAAAAGAAAGCAAGCCCCGTCAGATTATTTCCCTGAAAATCAAAGATTAGACGAGAGGCCACTCCGTGCTCTGTGTAAGGGGGCTTGAACCTAAGCTGTGCAGTGTGCACACTGGAGAACCGTCAGCTGTCCAAGACTGGGGGAATAATGACGACGGGTTTAGCTAGTCTTGGCATTCATCATCCTACAGTACGTGGGACTATAAAACTTTTGGAAAGAGAAAGGTAAAAAAAAAAGGAGCCTGTTTACTGTGTATCTATATGTATCAAGGGTTTCGAAATCAAGGAATATTTCTATGGGAGAAAGTAACCCAGTGAGTGATCTAGTCAATTTCCTGCCCGGTAAACTCAGGGAGGCGTTTGCGCACGTCCTCCCAGGTCTCGTCGCCCTCGACCAGCGACTTGAGAGCCTGTAGGATCTCGTCTTCGCTGGCGCGCACCTGCTTGGTGCTGTCACGATCGCGCAGCGTGAAGGTGTTGTCCTTCACAGACTGGAAGTCGACTGTGATGCCGAAGGGGGTGCCCAGTTCGTCATTGCGCGCGTACCGCTTGCCGATGCTGGCTGAGGAGTCGTCGACCCGGTTCGAGACACCGAGGCGGCGCAGTTTAGTCGTCAGGCGCTGGCAGAGCGGGCGGAAAGAGGCGTGCGTCGAGAGGGGGACAAGCAGGACCTTGCTGGGTGCAACGACGGGGGGGAAAGAAAGGACCTATCCGATTAGTATTGGATGAGTATTTATATAAATACTAGAGGGTAAATGGGACCGGAAGGGGGGGTAGGGGGG